CCTCAGCTCCTCTGCCCTCCTCTGTGTCCCACCTCTCAGCTCCACTTCCTCCCCTCCCACCCCCATTCTCACCCTCTGGGCCTCTCTGGAGCCTCTCCTTCCTGTTCTCTGCCCCCAGCGTTCCCCACCCTCCCCAAGGGGACCATGGCCACCATCCCAGACTGGAAGCTACAGCTGCTAGCCCGGCGCCGGCAGGAGGAGGCAGCCGTTCGTGGCCGGGAGAAGGCAGAGCAGGAGCGGCTGTCCCAGATGCCAGCCTGGAAGCGGGGGCTTCTGGAGCGCCGCCGGGCCAAGCTTGGTCTGTCTCCCGGGGAGCCTAGCCCTGCACCTGGGACTACGGAGGCTGGACCTCCAGACCCAGACGAGTCTGCTGTCCTCCTGGAGGCCATTGGGCCAGTGCACCAGAACCGATTTATTCGGCAAGAGCGCCAGCAGCAGCAACAGCAGCGGAGTGAAGAGATACTTGCAGAGAGACGGCCTGGGTCTTTAGAGGCCTGGGAGCGGAGACTCAGCCCTGGGGAGATGCGGGATCAGAGCCCCAAGGGAAGAGAGTCAAGAGAAGAGCGGCTCAGTCCCAGGGAAGCCAGAGAGAGGAGGCTGGGGATAGGGGGAGCTCGAGAGTCGAGCCCCAGGCCTTTGGAGGCTCGAGACTGGAGGCAGAGCCCAGGAGAGGCTGGAGACAGGAGCTCCAGACTGTCAGAGGTGAGGAAATGGAGGCTGAGCCCTGGAGAAACTCCAGAGTGGAGTCTGAGACTGGCAGAGCCTCAAGAACAAAGCCCCAGGAGAAAAGAGGTGGAGGAAAATAGACTGAGCCCGGTGGAGTCTGACAACCAGAAGTCGGGCCTGACAGAGGCCCATAAATGGAGACCTGACTCCAGAGAGTCTCAGGAACAGAGTTGGGTACAACTGGAGGCATCAGAGTGGAGGCTGAGCTCAGGAGAAGAAAGAAAAGACTGCTCAGAGGAATGTGGGAGACAAGAAGAGAGGCCAAGTCCAAGGATGGTCCCAGAAGAGATTACAGCGTCGTCAGAGACCCTGACAAGGGAGGCTCCAGACAGCAGTTCTGGAGGAGTGGAGGCAGCAGAACAGAGGCCCACCCCTGCGGAGGATGGCGAGAGGGGCTTGAAGCTGACAGAAGGGTGGAAATGGACCCTGAACTCTGGGAAGTTTCGAGATTGGACACCCAGGGACACAGAGACTCAAACTCAGAAACCAGACCCTCCAGAGTCTGCCGAGAAGCACCTGAGTCCTCTCGCTGCAGTGGCTGAAGAAGGGGAAGCTGAGAAGGAGGAGGCAGGGGCTCAGGTCAGGCCTCTGAGCGCCCTGCAGAACCGCTGCTCTGTGCCCTCCCCCCTCCCACCAGAGGACGCTGGGACTGGAGGCTCTAGACAGCAGGAAGAGGAAGCAGGGGAACTCCAGCCCCCACCAGCAGCCCCTCTGTCTCCCCCACCCCCAGCTCCACCTGCCCCCCAGTCCCCTGGGGAGCCCCTCATGAGCCGGCTGTTCTATGGGGTGAAGGCAGGGCCAGGAGTGGGGGCCCCCCGCCGCAGCGGACACACCTTCACAGTCAACCCCCGGCGGTCCGTGCCCCCTGCAGCCCCTGCCACCCCGGCCAGCCCAGCCACAGCTGACGCTGCAGTCGCTGGGGCTGGGAAGAAGCGGTACCCAACTGCCGAGGAGATCTTGGTTCTGGGGGGCTACCTCCGCCTCGACCGCAGCTGCCTTGTCAAGGGGTCCCCTGAAAGGCACCACAAACAGGTAGGGAGCAGCCAAGTCAGACTCCTCAGAAGCCCACTTGTCAGCTCTCTGTGGGCTCCTGTCTCTGTCTCATACGCCTGTATTCTTGTCTTGGTCTGCACGTTCTTGTTGATTCCTGCCGCCACTCTTCCTCCCCTGCACACACACCCTTCCCTCTCGGAGCCCTTCTTTTCCATTCACTTCCCAGCCCAAGGAGGCTGCCCCGCAAGCAAGCGCTGTTCTGGGTGTGTCCCTCTCAGGCTGTGCCCAGGCTGCTCACCCTCCATTCCCTCAGGCTCTGAGCCCCCAACCCCCCAGTTCTTTCCATTGCTGAGTCTGTGACCCAACCCAGGCCGTCTGGCGGGAGACCTGAGCTGAGGCCACAGCCTGGAGCCTGTGAGGGCAGGGTCCGCAGGGCAAAGCATTCCAGCCTTCCAGGGGGGAGGATGTCGGGGCGGGAAGCCTGGGGAGGTGGAGGGGTGGCTTTGGGCTTGTAGGGAGAAGTGAGCGGAGGAGGGTCTCACAGACCCAGAGGACGAGGGGTGCGGAGGAGGGACACCGCAGGACAGCAGGGGGAGGGGAGTGGAACAGGGCTGGCCGAGGAGCAGAGAAGGCTTTCGAACCCCGAGTCTGCCCCATGGGAGAGATGCACACAGAGGCCATTTGAAGTGGGTGACCTCGAGGTTGCACACCCCCAGCTGGGCCGCTGCTTCAGACAGTACTCCCTTCTCTCTTGGGACAAGAAAAGCCTTCTCCTCTTCCAAAATACCCCCTCGCCACTCCCTCCCTGCCCTTCCTCCCTGGGCTTCCCCTCCCTCCCCAGAACTGGCTCAGCAGTTGGTTTTCCCCTCTCTTCCTGCCATCCCGGCCTCTCCCTCCTCTTGGGGTAGAAAGAGAAGTGAATTTGGAGGCACTGTGCTGAGAGCAGGGAGTACAATGGGAGCTAAGGACGGGGTGGGGTGGGGGCGGGGTGGGGGCCGAGGCCAGCAGAAGAAGGCAGCACAGGGAAGTTGGCAACAGCCAAGCTGTCAGCCAAGCAGACTTCTTCCCCTGGCCCTGGCCCAGTCCTTCCCCACACACCAGTTTCCAGCTTGAAAAACTCTAAGGAAAGAGGTCTCTGCATCTAACATCTCTCCAGAGACTGGGAAGACCTTCCTAGTCTCCAGTTCTCATCTCATGTGTGACATCCTCAGACTTGTTTTTTGTGTCCTCAGTATCGG